ATAAATCATTTTATTGGGGGCACTTACAGCTCAGAACAATCCATACATCAATTGTATCAAACACATTTGTACATATGTTGCCATCATCATTTTCAAAACAATTTCTTTCTGCTTGAGCCTTTGGTATCAGCTCCTCTTTTTTCCCTCCCTCCACCACCCTCGTACCCTCATGTGCCCTTGATAAATTATAAATGATTATTATTTTCATATCTTACACCATCAGCTGTCTCCCTTCCCCCATGGTTTCTGTTGTTTGTCCCCTTGTGTATGTGGGGGATGTTATCTAATGATCATTATGATCTGTTTCCCCTTTCTCCCCCCACCTTTCCTCTACCTTCATGGTATCATTACTCCCATTTACTATTTCTGAGGGGGTTACCTGTCCTGGATTCCGTGTGTCTACAGCTCTTCCCTGTACCAGTGTACATGCGCCGGTCTAACTGGAATTTTAAGGTAGAATTGGGGTCATGTTAGTGGGCGGGAGGAAGCATTAAAGAACTAGAGGAATGTTGTATGTTTCCTTGGTGCTACACTGTACCCTGGCTAGTTCAGTCCTTCCTTGTGATCCTTCTGTGAGGGAATGTCCAATTGTTGACAGATGGGCTTTGGATTTCCACTCTGACACCCCTCGTTCGAAAAGATATGATTGTTTAGGGTCTTCTAATGCCTGATACTTGATCCCGTGGACACTTCGTGATCATACAGCTGGTGTGCTTCTCTGCTACATGGCCCCCTTTTTTAACATTAAGTCTTTAAGACCCCAGATGCTAAATCTTTTAATAGCCAGGCACCATCAGCTTTCTTCACATTTGCTTATACATCCATTTTGTCTTCAGTCATAGGGTTGGTGAGGTGAGCATCATAGAATGCCAGGCTATTAGAACAAAGTGTTCCTGTGTTGAGGGGGTACTTGAATAGAGACCCAATGCCCATCTGCTACCTTAATACTTAACATTTAAATATATGTACATAGACATATCCATATTGTAATATATTAATGTTAAATATGTGCATGCCTACATTTATAGCTCTATAAATGTCTTTTTGCCTCCTGGTTCTTCCCTCGATTTCCTTTTACTTTCCTCCTGTCCCACTATAACGTTTGACCTTTATTTGACTCTCAGTACTTTCTCTCGGCTATATTACACTTGATTAACCCCCCCAGGCTTTCTACACCTTCCTTGCCATCGATTTAAGATCTTTTATTGTTCCCTTGTCCCTGGGTTTGTTGGCTCCCCATTTTCCCACCCCCTCCTCTCCCATGTACCCCCGGAGCTGTGGACCCGTTATTTCTCCTCAGGATTGGTTATTCTATCTTATATGGATAGACATGAGAAAAAGAAAAAAAAAATTTTTAAAGAAAGAAACAGCTTATAAATAGTTGCTGACCTTTATGAATGTTTTCCAATGGGATCTGCTGAAGTGCCACACCCTGCCCACTGCTTGACGTCTATTTTTGGGATTCTTCAGGGACTTTGTTGCTTTGTGTTTTGCTCTGGAGGAGGAGGGGGTCGGGGATATCAGACCAGATACAATTCCCACACTGTGTCTCCAGTGCTGTCTCCTATAGCACTGTGGGTCAGTGAGGGGGCGTCATGTCTTGTGGTGGGGACAGGCCCATGAACCTCTCTGTGCATTGGCTGCTTCGAGTAGGAATGTCATCCTTGAGGCTTGGTGGGCCAGGATGTGGTCCTCTCTCTCTTTCTCCCTCTTAGTTCCCATGTGGTCTGCGCAGACCCACCGCTCTCCCTGGACTGGGCTGTATCTTCAGTGCTGTCCTCTGTAGTGCATTCATCTGGGGAAGGGTTGACGTTGCTGGGACTGGGGCCAGCCCCAAGGACCTTTCTGTTAGTTCGCTGCATGGGCTTCCTGCTTTCTTATTCTTACAGAGCAGAGAGAGGACCTTCAATTGGGAAGTTGGCTTCATTAACAATCCTACCATGGAGAACTTCCACTTTCAGTCAGTAATTCACAAAGGTATGAGCAGGTTGAAAGATCAGTAGCTAGGTTTGTTTCTGACTGGCTTTTAGGGACTATTTTTGGCCCTTCAGGTGAACTCTTCCAGAAAAACGACTCAGACCAACAGGCGCTTGTCACACATACTGAAGTCCACAGTGAGCTCAGGCTTCAGGCACATGACTCCAGAGAGCCAGACAAGGTCACCAGAGCTTTGATTCCATTAGTGGTTGCCTTCTCTTGCACCTTCATTCTTTGAACGGGTTGGGTCCTGCGGTAGGAAGAGAAAGGCCACAGGCAGTCCCCTCGGGATTATGTGGCCTCGATGGCTTTCAGTCTCAGAGGAAGAGAGCTTCTCTCTTAGACTTCCAGGGCTGTCCGACCTGCTTTGCCTGGTGCCAGGGAGTGAGGTCAGCTTTAACCAGTCTCGCTGAAAACACAGGGTCACTCAAGTCCATGGGCAGAAGTTGGCCCCTCCAAGGATGAAATGCGGAGTGTCCAAAACACACGTCCTCCAGGCCAGGTGAAGTGCTAAAACCTGCCAAGGAGATTCAAACACCACACACGCCAGCGCAACATTGGCTGAATCAATTTAGGGACGCATAAGACAGTTGCTGCAGAGTATCTCCCAGGCACGACAGTCTAAACGCTGTGTCGCATTTCAGAGAAGCAATGAAACACAACTTCGGAGAGACACCACAGGGAGAAGCCGTTTTAGCTGGGAGTGACTTCAAACACGGTGCGATTGCTCTCCTGCTACACGGGAGATAGGGTGCTCTGGCAGACGTTTTCCCCGGCTTGTCCAGCATGAGAGGAGAAGGCAGTCTTTTCTGAAGTGCTGGAAAATGTCCTGCTACCACTTTGCAAACAATCCCTCCTCAATTAAAGTGGTGATAATCTGGTGGGTTTCTGATCCAGGATGCAAATGCCTGTCTCCGGAGTGCACTCCACGCTTCCTGGTAGGTGGAGGCAGCCTCTTTGTAATCCAGGTACGTCTCTAGCTTCCGCCCCCTGAAACACACATGCCACCAGCACACAGGTACTTAACAGCTCACCACCACTGCCCACAGGGTGTCCGAGCAACCAGCTAGGCAGATCTGTAAGGAGAGACTTAGGTACAGAGGAATTGGAAATGCTTTCCCAGAGCAGCTCTCTCTCCTTATTAGGGGATTCACTAGAATGAAACATGGATTGAAACAGGTAAAATGCAAACAGTGCTTGTTCTATCCAATCCTTATAGAATCATATCAAACAAGAATAGAAATATTTACTTTATTTTAATGTTTCCTTAAGGGTCCTTCATTTCTACCAGAAGAGTAGGCCAGTAGAAGCTTCTGGGCTGCATTTCTTTATAACAAAGCAAAGAGCACGTCCCTGCCAGCCATACTCCTCTCTTAGCTACTGCTTTCCTGCTCCCAGCCCGTGGTCAGCTCTGCCTTAAAGAACAGATGGCATGCTCAGTCACCTCTATGCTACTTATTCCCAGTTAAAAGCTTTTCTTCCGTGGCCTACACATTTCAACCATGCACCAGTAGGTCATTGAATACAAAGAGCAGCTACCAGCGATCAGAAGTTACTAGAAGCTAGGCCTGTGTTACGTGGTTTATTTCATTTTCTCAGCAAGCTTGCTGCATGGTTACGGTAACTACTATTCTCACCTTACAGTTGGAGAAACTGAGGTTTGTGTTTTGATTCGATTTACCTTTTGTGTTTTACCGAGATCTAAAGAGACCCAAGTTCTTAGCTCATCTCAACACAATGAATAGTTGCTTCTTGATCAACTGCTTACAGCTTTTTGTTGGTGAAAGGCAGGGCAACGTTAAACTGGACCTGAGCCTGGTGCTCCAGAAAAATACTGAAGGGGCAGAAATCCTCCACCTTTGTGTGCTCTGGGAAATGGCCAAGAATAATCCTTGCCCCTAGGACTTGAGACCCTCCCCCAATATGATTTCCCAAAGGATTCCAATTCATGGTGACTTGGATAAGTCTTAGGTAACACAGTTCCCATCGTTTACCTATGACAAGGCCAGACACAGCCCCTGAACATATCTGTTCTTGCTTCATAAATGCTTAGTGGAACTACTGGCACACGGTGACCAATTAGGACAAACTACCTGGCTCAAGTGACTTAAAACAACCTTTAAACTTCTCTTCAGACTCCACCCTGGGTCAGAGTGGTCATGGGAATGTGAATGACTCTTAAGATAGTGGCCCCTCCCAAGAACCAACCAATCGTAAGTGAAGACATTTCCTACTAACTGTCTAATACACCGTCTTGTTTACCCCTCCCTCTCCAAAACCCATTGCCACGGAGTCAATTCCAGCTCACTGTCACCCTACAGGTCAGAGTGCAACTGCTCCCTGGGGTTTCTGAGGCTGTAATCTTTATTTTCAATTTAAATAAATAATTTTATCGGGGGCTCTTAGAACAATCCATACATCAATTGTATCAAACACATTTGTACCTATGTTGCCATAAACATGAGGCTGTAATCTTTAAGGAGCTGTTGGTTTGAACTGCTGACCTTGGGGCTATCAGCCCAGTGAATGACCAACTACATCACCAGGGATCCCTATAAAAAATTTCCTTTTTCCAAATCTTTGTCAATGGTAGATCTCCCTAATAATCAGCTTTCACCAACAGTGCTCTTCCCTCACTGCAATCCTTCTTTTGGAAGAGTCGTCTGACTGACAAAACAATGTGTGGAAGCGGCTCAACACTAGCTACACCAGCGGTTCTCAACTTGTGGGTCGCAGCCCCTTTGGGGGTCGAACGACCCTTTCACAGGGGTCGCCCGATTTGTAACAGTAGCAAAATAACAGTTATGAAGTAGCAACGAAAATAATGTTATGGTTGGGGGGGAGGGTCACCACCACATGAGGAACTGTATTAAAGGGTCGAGGCATTAGGAAGGTTGAGAACCACTGAGTTACACGATTTCCCCAGATAAGAAATGTACAAACCCAAGGAAAGGTGCCCTGAGGGCATCAATCCTGACTTCCATGAAGTGCTAACAAGTGGCCAGCCTTGGCTTATGGAAGCTTCCAGCTCTTCCTCAGCTTCCCACCCACTAGTTCCCTGAAGTGGTTTTACAACTGTATTATACCTGAGTTCCTACAAAAATATTCCTGTGGGCTTACAGAGCTATTTAAATCCTGGAGTTCCAACGAACGTACAAATGCGCTTTACACAATTGATGTGTGTATGGATTGTGATAAAAGTTGTATGAGCCCCTAATAAAATGATTTTAAAAAAAATCCTGGAGTTCGTTTGTAGCCACACATACAAACAAAAGAACGAGAAAGGCAGTCAGGTTCCTACTGGCGGAGCCCCCTGCTCTCCCGGCATCCCTGGACACTGAGCTCCCGGTGGGGAGTTGACTGGGGCTCCCGTGTGCTGAGGAGACATGCTGCAGAGGGTCTTCAGGGCTGTGATCTTTCAGGTGAGGATTGCCTGCCTATCTTCCAAGAGGCATCGGGGTAGATGAGGACCTCCAACCTTTCCACTCCTAGTGGAGCACTTACCTGTGTTTGAGCCACTCAGAGCTCCATGCCCTAAAGGTGGGCCTGCAATGAGCTACCTTCCAATTCAACCCTTGGTGGACTTTACACCACCATCACTCCCCCCTCTGGATCACAGGCTAGGCACCTAGGAGGTGGGGCCACGGGGAGAGAGGAGCAGGTGGTGGTCATTAAGTGCCCACTAATAGAAAGACTGGTGGTTTGGACCAACCGGGCTCTCTGTGGGAGAAAGATGGGGCAGTGTGCTTCCATGAAAGTTACCACCTTAAGAGCCCTCTGGACAGTTCTCTGTCCAGTAGGATCACCCTGAATCGGGATCAGTACTTGGGAAAGGGAGCGTGTTCAACCACCACTTAGGCCAGAGCTCCCAGCCACAATCTTCAGCCAGAATGCAGAGAGAAGTCTTCAGAAATAATGAAGACAAAACAAAACAAAATATGGATCAATAACCACCTAGAAATAAGCTTTCACCTGAGGGAGTCTGGCCACTTGTCCTCTGGAATACTGCTTAGCAGCTTCTGGAATGATCTGAAAAGGCTGACTTTGCTGATTCGGGACCTATTCAAAAAAGAACACAGTATTTACTTGCTTGCTACGTAACCAGGCCCTCTACTAAAGAGAGCAAGCTTCACACAGTCGTTAGGCTCGAATGTTGCTGAGTACCCACTTTCACCTGCTCCTGGCTTGATAAGTTAGTTCTGAGTGTTGGATCCGCTGGAGTCGCAACTGCATTGCATCCTATGAAATTTCATAGCAGGAGGACCATCAGAGTGACGGGCTGACAAGGGGGAAAGACTGAGGATGAAGGCTGAAATAAGAGCCCCCTTGGGTTATCTCCATTCAAGGGAGCTGATGCCTACAGGGAATACTGTTCCTGAGAAAGCGGAGCCTGGTTTCAGCAACCTCAGGGCTATCTCCTGAGTGAACTGTGGGCAAGAAGTCCCCTGACTGCGACATCAAGGCAGTGTAGGCCTCTGCCTTTGAAAAGAATTCTGGATGGAGGTCTTGGTTTGGAATGTCTGAGGATCCCAACCCAAATAAACTCACTGCTACTGAGTCGATTCTGTCCCGTAGCAACCCTGGAGTGGTTTAGGCATTGGGCTGCTAACGGCAGTCAGCAGTTTGAAATTAGTAGTCATTCTCTGGGAGAAAGATGCGGATTTGCACTTCCATACAGATTTACAGTCTTAGAAAGGCAGTTCCACTCTGCCCGATAGGATCATTATGAGATGGCTAAGAAAAACAAAACCACACTCACGGCCATCAGGTCAATTTTGACTCATGGTGACGCTTTAGGTAAGGAAGTGAGTGTTAGTTCCTTCTCATTGGGCCTTCTTGGTGTCTGCCAGTCCACACCAGGCCTGGCTTTGACTGACGGAACTGCTTTCCTGCACATAAAACCATGGTGGCACAGTGACTCTGATCTACACCGGATGGGAATCTACATCCTGGAAAAGCCAGGAACCCCTGATTTGCTATCAGCTCTTGGCTCTCTTCTTTTTGTATGGTCACGGTGTGTGCTACACCAGTCTTGACCACTAGGAGGCAGGCACAACCCACTGCCTAGGCCCTTGAACCTTCGGAATTAACTGGTTGAAGAGCAAAACCTTAATAATTAATTACCAAAGGATGGACATGGGATTTTTGTTGTTGTTATTGTTTGTTTTGAGATGGGCAGTAAGTATATAAAAATGAAAAGAAACAAACCTATCTGCCAACTCGAATTATAAACCCACTTTTATAAGTTAAAAAGATTACATTGAGCTAGTGGGGATCCTACAACAGTCACTTGGATAATAGCTCAGTCCAGATTGAGGTGGAAATGCCTTTAGGGAGAGAGAGGCCACTGCCCCACAGCCCCTTCATAAGTGATTCTTGGGTTCCAACCCAGAGCTGCTGAAGCAGAACCCCTTGTGCTAAGAAATGAAAGCATTCTTGTGAAAATGTTTCCAGCAAATGGTGCTGGGCCAACTGGATATCAACATTCAAAAAACAGAAACTAAATCCCTATCTCATACCACAGAGAAGATTTTACTCTAACTGGATCAAAGACTGAAACCTGAGGCAAAACTAAAACTGTTAGACAAAAACATAGAGATAAATCTCTGTGATCCTTATTAGCTACATCATCAAAAGCATGACTTACCAAATGCACACATACCTATATCTATAGACCTCATCAAAGTTTAAAACGTTAATGCTTCAAAAGACCTAATCAAGGAAGTGAAAAGCCTGGAGAATCTGACAGCTCGTCACAGAGTCCTAAACCCAAAGCAAATCCACTGTTGTCAAGCCCAGTCCGCCTCAGAAAGACCCTCCACGAGAGAGCATGCCTGTCCCAGAGGGTGTTCCAAGGCTGGGAATCTTTCCAGGAGCAGACAGCCTGTCTTTCTTATGAAATCAGACGGGCACGTCTGTCTCCCCCAACATGGCTGGTAGCCTCGAACCTTCTGGCTAGCAACTGAGTACTTTAACTTTGCCACCAGGGATCCTGCAAATGCAACCTAATTAACAAATGATCAAACAATGTAGAGACATTTCTCTGAAGAAGATACACACATGGTTGACAAGTGCAGAGGGATGCTCAAGATCAGCAGACATTAAAAACAAAAAACAATGAATTGTATGAGCCCCAATAAAATGATTTTAAAAATGCAAACCTATGACCATAGAGTAGATTCTGACTCATTGGGGCCCGGTAGGGCTGAATGAAATGTCCCCATTGAGTTTCCGAGATGGTAAATTGGTACAGAATCTGGCTGCCATATCTTTCTCCCACGGAGCAGCTACTGGGTTCCAATCACCTTTTGGTTAGTAGCCAAGCGCATTAACCACTGCACTACCAAGGCTCCTCTATTAGATATTCTCAACCATAGATTCACTGCGATTCCAATTCATGGAGCGCCTAAATAAGGTTTCCTAGACTGTCAGTCTTTATGAGAGCTGGCAGCCTCAACTTTTTCCCATTAGCGGTTAGTAGGTTTGAACCACCAAACTTGTGGTTAGCGGCCAACGCAGTGTCCATAGCGCCACCATCAAACATTACTTCCCATACTCAAGCTTACTGCTATCAAGTCGATTCTGACTCTTAACAAGGCTCTACGGGCAGAGTTGAACTGCGCCTGTGGATTTCTGAGGTTGTCCATCTTTTCGGGAACAGAAGAGCCATCTTTCTCCCATGAAACAGTTGGTGGGTTTGAACGGCTGTTGTAGTCAGTAATCTAACATGTAACCCACAGTGCCACCAAGGCTCCCCCACTGGCCTAGGGACATGTAAATCAGGACCACGATGCACTATCACTTCGCACTTGGGATGGGTATCAGTAAGAAGACAGGCAGGTCATTGGAACCCTCACTCATCATTGGGAGGAATGTCATATGGCACATGGCTTTGGAACACAGCGTGTCAGTCCTCAAAGTTAAACATGGTTACAATAGGACCTATGCCTTCCACTCCTGGGTGTGTACTCAAGTGACCTGAAAACTTGTCTCAACATAAAACTTGCACCCGAACGCACAGAGCAAACAGTGGAAACCATCCAAATGTCCACTGGACTGGTCGATGATCAACAAAAGGTGATCTATCCACACAAGAGAGGATTGGTCTGCTCTACAAAGGTATGAAATACCGACACAGGCTACAACCTGGATGATCTGAGAATATTCTGCTACATGAAGACGGCGGACACGGAAGGCCATGTGTGTGATTCCACTTACAAGGCAGGTCTGTCCAGAAGAGGCGGAAAGTGAGTTAAGGGTTGCCAGGGGCCAGGGGCGAGGGAGGAATGGGGAGGGTCTGCTCATGGGTTCACAATTTTGGGGTGATGAAAATGTTCTGGGAGTGCTGAGTTGACAGTCTCCCCATCCCCCCACCCCTCGACTGTGCCATAGGTACCTGGCCTGAAGGCTGCCAATGCCTTTCTTGGTGGTGCCCTGTGGGAAGCCGTTGGCTGTAACATCCAGGGGCTGCTCAGAAACCGCACTCCAGCTGATGGCTACAGAAAGGTGATTCTGAGGTTAAAACTGGTTGGCTTTCTTTATATAGAAATGTCAGAGGTTACTCCCTTAATGCAAGAATACTTTGTTAAACTGTCATTCTATGATGCTCAACTTCCCGACATAATCATGGAAAACAAAGTGGGTGAATAAGTAAATGTGGTGAAGAAAGCTGATGGTGCCCAGCTATCAAAAGATA